CACACGCACACACACATGAATAGTCACTGAGGAACCTTCTCCCCCCCACATATTCACACACGCACACACACATGCACACACATGAATAGTCACTGAGGAACGCTTTTCTCCCCCTCGCACACACACAAGCCCACATATACTCACACATGCACATACAGACACACACATGTGCACACACTCACCGAGGATCCCTTCTTCCTCTTGCTGATCCCTCCAAAGCGGAACTTGAGCCCTGCCACTCTCTTGCCCCTGCCCTTTTTCTTGGAGTCTTTGGCACCTTTGTTCTTCTTCCTCACTCCAGGCCCTGGTCAGTGGGACAAGGGCTGCAGTGACCAGCACTGCCGCTGATGGCCCATCTCTCCCACCGCTTCACTGGTCCTCCAAGACCCCAACAAGAGCTGGTCACATCAACCATCACCCTCTCCAGACGAGAGAGTGCAGGTCCGAGAGACGAAGACAAACCTGACTCAAGCCTGGTCATCATGGCCACCATGCTGGTCATATGCCATGGACACTTGAAAATGCCTACCGACTTGGAAACAGCCTCTATACCATGTGACCAACTTGCTTCCAAAGACCTCCTTGGCTTCCATGCCTGCACAGATGGCTTCGGAAGCAACACCGCCCACCTGTGACCCATGCCTGGATCCCTGGGGAGTCACCCAGCCCCAGTACCCCAAAGCCATGTGGGCTGGGGGCACTTCCCATGGCTACCCCCAACTTCCCTGTCACCGTAGGCTACGAGGCTATGTAGGTACGGTTCAGCAGTACCTCCTCGGCAGGTGAGGAAATACGAAAGATGGGGGGATGGGGCAGGAGAAGCAGCAGCACCCGGCCTGGGGCACTTGCCCACCAGGCACACTCTCAGACATGACACAGGCATGCCAAGGCACTCTGTAGGGCTGACACAGGGTCCCCAGCCTCCTCTCAGCCCATCAAATCCCACACCAGATTGCCAACAAGACAGAGTGTTAAAGCTCCCACAGGGAGGAGATCAGCGTCCTCTCAGAGGCCAGGATTTCCACACAGTCCCTCCTTCTGCACTGAGTCAGGCTGGACCTGGGTCTCCCTGCTGTCCTCCCAGCCATTCACACTCTTGTGAGGTCCCTCTGCAGGGAGCTGATACAGAAAGGCCCAGACACAGGAGTTTATACAGGAAAGGATCAGCAGGCTAACCCAGGGCCGCCACAACTCCAGTCTGCCACCTCCATGCCCACAGTGGGGGTGGGCATGCTGTGGCCCACCCCTCCTGCCCTCCATGCCCACAGTGTGGGGGTGGTTGGCCAGATGTTAACTCCCAGAGGCCCACCCATAACTCTTCTGCTTCCTCAATAGGAGAAGCAGAAGCTGTGAAGGGGCGGGTCAGCCTGAGGTCATGGAAAACACTGGCTCCTCCATAAGGAGAGCCCCTAGCTGCCCTGTAGGACCTGAAGGGGCATATATGCCAGACAGGGCTCCGTGCCCCTCCCCCACAGCCTTACCCTTGCCCTCTTTGGTCTTGGCCTTGCGGATGGGCAGAGGCTGGGGCACCTGCTGGGGACTGATGGCCAGTGGAGGAGCGACAGTCACAGTTTCCACGGCCGCAGCCACAGCTGCTGCAGCTGCTGCTGCTGAGCTACCCTTGAAGGGGTTGTTGGCACTGAATTCTCGCCACTTGGCCCCCAAGACGGTCATCATTTTGGACATGGGAATCTTCGGGTTCTTCTTGGCAATAAGCGGTCTGTGGGGGGGAGAGAGGAAGGTGAGGGAGGACTACCTTTTCTCCCATGCCTGTGAGGTGAGCCGAGAGCACTCCTGTTGTGCTTCCATCTAAGCTGCAGGTAGGCCTACATCAGGCCATCACCACTGAAGGACCCAGGACAAGGCCTGTGAGAGAGGTAGGCCCAACCATCTGCTTTGCTAAAATGAAGGAATCCGGACCCCAAGCCTTTCCCAGGTCAGTGGCTGCCCTGATAGTCCTCATTCCCTCAGGAGTCCTGGCTGCCTCTCTGTTCACCACTCCTCACTTGGTGCCCCTCAGGTAAGCACAACCCCCACGGTCACCCAGCCATAGCAGCCAGCCCCTGGCCCACCGGAGGAACTGGCTGAAGGCCTTGTAGTTGGTCAGCGTGTGGTAGTCTTCCTCCGAAAACAGGTAGTCAACATCATCAAGGCCCCACTCAGCCATGAGCTGTCCCGAGGACTTGGGCTCCTGCAGAGATACGGCCAGAGGTGAGCTCAGAGGCAAGGGCCCTCCTGACCTTCCTCCTTGCTCTGAGAAAGAAGGAAGAGGACAATCCACAAGCTAAGAACAGCTCACCACTGGGACACCGTAGCCTATCCCCACACCCACCCTATCCCCACAACCCTACCAAGTGGCATGTCTCAGATGCCAGCACGCAGGGTGCTGTGAGCTTTAATGTTGAGGCTGGGGAATTCCACCCATGTTTCTCCGGAAAGTGAAAGCAGACAACTAGGACAGAGTGGCAGGCAGAAGTGGTGGCCCAGCAAGGGGCAGAGCTGAAAGAGTCCCTCCACCACTCCCTAAGGCCCCATGAGCACTTGCTCACAGGGCCATCGCAGGAATGAGAAAGCTAAAGGACCAGGTGACTACATGGCCCCTGGAGGGCCAGGTCACATGAGGTGATGGCTGTGGAGAAGTTCCTGTTCTTTTTTTTTAAAAAAAAAAAAAAAAAAAAAACAGGTCTCTCTACATAACCCTGGCTGTCCTGGCACTTGCTGTGGAGGCCAGGCTGGCCTTGAACTCAGATCTGTAGTGTTTGGATGCAACTCATATCAATTAAAAAAAAAAAACAACTTAAGGCCTACAGCTGAGGCAGAAAATATGTGGGATATCCAGCAGACAGAAGGTATTTGTAAATAATTATCTTGAATCTTATGAGTTGTTATTCTGGGAGCTTAGGGTGGGAGGGAAAACCTCTTACAGCAGAGATCCTCCTGTCTCTACCTCCCAGTGCTGGAACTAAAGGTATCCGCTATTTGATTTTTAATTTATTTCTTTTTATGTGTATGAATGTTTTGCCTACATGTATGTCTGTGTACTACCTGTATGCCTGGTGCCAGCAGAGGCTAGAAAAAGGCATCAGATCCCCCTGACGCTAGACTTACAATTCTGAGCCATCTCTGGGATCTGGAAATTGAGCCCTGGACCTCTGAGAGAGCAGCCAGTGTTCTTAAGCACTGAGCCATCTCTCCAGCCTCCAATGGGTCACCTTTCTGCCTCAGTTTCCTCCTTCTGCCTCACAGAGAATTAACATAGATGCTATGTGATCAGAAATCTCAAACGCCTTCTTCCTCCCCCTGTATGCTGTAACCTTGCGCTGCCCTAACAAGCCTAGCCTTCCCCCAGTGGAAATCCACTGCAGTGGAAAGCCACCCAGCCGGGGCAGGCTCCCCCTGGATCCCCAGAATCTATGTCCCAGAAGTAGCCTGCAAAGCAAGAGGACTTAGGAAGCTGGTTCTACAATGGTTCAGAGACGGTTCAGTGAGGGACACTGTCCCATTGCCAGCCTGCCCCCTCAGACACACCCAGCCGTTCCCAGAGGCACCTCTAGGAAATACAGAACCAAGCTGGGGAAATCACCAGTAATCCTAAACAGCTCCTGGAAGCTAATTTCTCAGAACTGTCCCCCATGGCTATCACCAGCCACAGCTGATTCACAGCACACCCACAGTAACTAACGGGATCGTTCGGGGTGTGTCAGGGCACCCCCAAGCAAGCGCTGCTTCTCCTGTGCTCCAGGATTCTATCATCCGGAGCATTCTGTAATGCCTTGAGTTGCTCTCCACATTTGTGATGAAGATGCTCATGCCCAAAGGACAGCCAGGCCCATCTTTGGGGCCACAGCCATGCAGCTCCAAGAGAGACCAGAGGAACGCCCGTGTGGACCCAGGAAGAACTGGTCACTCTGCTGTCCAGCAGACGGTAGTTTTATGTCCCCAAATTGCTCCAAGCAAGAGGTTTCTGACACCAAACCTGCGTTCACAGTATCTGTCATTCTCTCCAGCTGCACACTTGGTGGGCAATCCATTACCAAGAGCAGCCCCAATCCATCGGCAAGACACTGTTGCCACCACCAACTCCTAAGTGCCCTTCGTGACCCGTGTCCAACATCCACGAGCACAACCACACAGAGCTCTGTATGGCCTCCCTGACTCTCCATCCTCCTGCCTGGCCCTGGCCCTGGCAATTACCTTCAAGCACCCATCATCATTATCGTCCTCATCCTCATCCCTCTTTTTCCGCTTGGCTTTCTTCTCCTTCTTTTCCTTCAGCTTCTTCTTCTTCTTCTTGGTGGGGGAGTAGTCACTACCTTCACTCTCTGACTTCTCTTCCAGATCCTCCTCATTTTCCGACAGCTCATCATGGCTCCCCTGGAAGAGAATGGGGAATAGTGAGAGAACCAGATACCCCAGAATGCCAGAGACCTCGGTGAGTTGTCCAGGTGCTGTCTTTCTTCACCCATAGTGCGCTGGTGAATGAGCATGTGATCTGGAGAGGAGCCAGACTGCCCCAGGCAGGTGAGGTGTGGCCTCAGGACAAGCTCAGCTTCTGCTTGGGTCAGAGTGGATTTGGGGAGCATGATGGCACTGAACCACAGAAACTGCTGGCAGACACCATCATGAGCAAAGTCAAACAAGAAAAGCTGCAAACAGGAGGTGCTTCATCCACTAGCACCCGCTCTGCACCCCTCAGCCTGTGGAGGGAGCCTTCGATGAAAGGAGTGTGCCGAGGGCCAGCTTTCCAGAGGCAGCATGGTACAAGCTTGTCTCCTCCAGCACGGCCACTCCACCTCAGTGACAGAAAACGTAAATTAGGAAGCTTTTAAGATTGACTCCATTTTGTTTCCTATCTGTACAGGCAGAAAATGGTCCATTTATATGGAGATGAGGGTGTTTACAGTCATAGCATACCCACCAGAAAGATGCTGTCCCTGTAAAGAAAAGATTTTCCCCGTGGCTTGGAGGCAAGTGAACCCTGTACCCTCCTACACCAGGTCTGCAGGGACAGGCTGGCACCGGCACTGCAGTCACCAGCTTGGGGCTTGTGACCCTTGTGATTGCTGGGAGATGTTTTCAAGGTAAGCAAAGACAGGCATGAGAAGAGATGGAGAGAGCCAGAGATATAAAGAATGAGCAATGAAAACAACAGATGGGGAGGCAGAAGAAGAAAAGCAGGAAAGAGAATCCTGGGGCCCCTCCCAGGTGAGGTTGGACATGTCAGCTGGGAAGACCCCACCCATATGCTGTCCTGGAAGCTCAGCTTAGCCCCCTGTCAGAGGCTCTTGACTCTGCCACCTGCTAGTCAGTTGCCAGGTCAGCGCGCAGCAAGGAAGGCCTCCTGCTCTCCCAGAACGCTGACTCTGGTCTGGACCATTGGGTCAATTCCAGCGCCTGCAGCTGGCAGTGGCATGGAACCCTGGAGCTGCAGCTCCCAGGCTACAGCATGAAAAAGTGGGAGTGAGATGGGGATCCCTCTTCCCCCCAAGGTAACAGAGACCAGTCAGCTCTCTGAGACCACGTCCAAGAGATCTGAGAGCCACAGCCTTCGCCCCCAAAAATAAGTAAAGAAAGGTAGAGGTGTCGTACCCCCACCCACCCTGTACACTTCAGCACCATAGGCAGCTGCAGCCTGCAGGCCAAATATCCAGGGGGAGGGCTCGCATGGCCTGCCTGGGGGCCCTTGCCGGCCTGGGACCCACTCTCTTGTTGGCACATTAATGTGAGGAAGCAGGGAGATTTGCACACAGAGGCCAAGCTCAGGGACTGGGATGGCACCGGAGAGCCAGGTGATGACTATGTGTCCCATCTCTCTCCCACAGGCCACTTATTGCAAGACAAGACTGCATTCAGAACCACAGATGTCCTTTACTCCTGATACAACCTGACCACACCCAGGCAAAGGCTTCTGCCTGTGACAGCACAAGGACAGGACCAAAGCCAGCCCCATGGGTGACTGTGGGTAACCAACGCCTGGTGGCTGGCCAGAGTATGTACTGAGAAGAAGACACTGCCATTGAGGGTTCAGGGGAGGCCAGAAGCAGAGCTAACAGAGGGCAGGAGGGAGGTGGGAAGGCACCTCCAGCTTACTGAGGCACCTGGTGGTGGCAGCAGCAGCCTGGGTACAGCACCGATAGGGGGCAGAGCCAGGTACACTCCAGAAGCTGGATCTCAGGCTGGGTGCCTCTTTCCTCCTTCCATCTACCAAAGCATAGGCAAGATGTCCACCTCTTCTTCCACCCATGGGGAGAGAAGTCTCTGACCTCTTTTCCCCTGCCATGCCTCTTCCCAGTGAAGCCAGCCTAGCCTGGGTCCCCCCACATCCATGCCAGCCCAGCACAGTGGAGGATCTATGCCAGCTGTTCCCACATTGTTCACTGCTGGGCTTCTCCCCAGATGAGGGGGAGGGGGAAATACTGCAAGTGGATCCAGGGAGTCATTGGGGACACAGGAAAAACTGACCAAGCACCTGAGGTAGAGGGGCTACCCAGTGTCTCTGAACTCACTAGGGTGCACACCTTTAATCCCAACACTTAGGAAGTAAAGGCAGATGGGTCTCCAAGTTTGAGGTCAGCCTGGTCTACTGAGAGGAAGTGGGCCACACCCAAGTCAGGGAACCGAAGCACACACAGGCTGTGAAAATCAAGATGACAGCTGGGCCTTTGACCTTGGTTGTATGACTGTTCAATGGAGCACGAGTGGCTTTGAAAACCTTAGGGGACACGTGAAAAGCACCTCAGATGCCACACCCAGGTCTCTGCTCAGTGCCCGTTTGCCTGGTGAGGGCACAGCACACAGCCGTGACTGGAGGACCCTAAGTGGGAAGTCTCACACCACCCTTTCTGGTTTCTGAATCCAGGCTTCCTGTCCCGATCTTCCCTCCCTGCTAAGCCTAGCACACACATCACATCTCCTGAAAAAAAAAAAAAAAAAAATTTAGACTCAAAGGAAGAACTCAGGATGTTGGTCATTCTCTACTTGGGGTCCTTCAAGACTGAGAGGGAAAAAAAGAAGAATGAAATATGAGCCTTCCCATTCACCAGTGTTATAAACAGTTATAATTTAGCACTGAATAATTGGTTGCTATGGCAACCGCTGCAGTACAGGTTGAAATCAGTTCTCCCTCCTGCGCTCCGGTCTGACAGGGAGCTTCATCTACATATGCTCAGGTTCCGGCTGCAGCCCGGTTATTTTATGTAAATCAGAATCCACGGCTTGCTGCTCGCCTGGGCCCCCGCCCACCTGCTCTGGCCCCCTCTGCGGCTCACACGGTCACCTGGCGGGGGTTGCAGTGGTGGGGGTCGGGGGAGGAAGGGGATTCCCACACCCGGGATTTAGAGCTGTCGGGTGGGCGGGCAGACGGATCTTCCTTTTTGTAAATAGCACGCTATAGACTGCCATCCTGCTCCCAGATCCTGCGGCTGCTGAGAGCAGAGAGCAGAGCTCTCCTCTCCGGGATGGATAGAGAGAGAGAGCACCCCTTCGTCACCTGGAAACCTTGTCTACCCAAGTGTTCCACCCTTTTAAAGAAGCAATATTGCATCCATCTCAACGAGAGAGGAATGGAATGGAAGAGAGAGAAGGGAGGGAAATGAGATAGGGGAGGAGAGATGAAATGGAGAGAGGGAGGGGAGATGAAATGAAGAGAAAGAGAGATTAATAAGGCAGAGAAATGAAGCTCAGGCCAGAAAAAGAGCCAGTGTGGGTGACTGAAGACAGAACCAGAAAAAACAAATGCATCCTCAGAAAAAGAGAGCAAGAGACCCAGGCCAGCTGGAAACAGCCTAGCTGTGATTGGTCCCAGGAAAGCACCCTTCCTTGGCCTTCGAGGCTGCCAGACCCTACAGTCCCGAACCTCCCCACCTCCAGCCAGAGCCATGACAGCCCCGTGCCCAGAAAGGAGCGAGAAAACAGACACCCCTGCTTAGAATCAGGGCCCCTGGGAACCCCTCCTGGAGCTTACATGTGAGACAGTCCCAGCCCGGGGCCTGACATTTGAGAGTGAGTGGAGTATGCAAGTATCCTCTGCCATGAGGCCCAGGACCAGAGGCCACAGAGCCTGGGGCTGAGAATAGTGACAACAGAGTGGGACTGCACACACTCAACCAGGAGGTCTGAGCACCTGAATGCCAGGGCCTCACAGTCCAGAACCTCTGCACTGCCCAGCCAGCCATGGACAGCATCAGAGTCTGGGGCCCAGTGCTGGTCCCCAAGACCTCCTTCAGTGGGGGTGCTCCAAACACAGGGCCTGCACCCACATTCTGCCTCTACTTCCTTGTCTGGATAATGGGGTCAGAGAGTTTCGTGTCACCTCAGTCCTAGACATAATACCAGACTACAGACGGACTTGACAGGTGTGGAGTCAGCGGAGGGGTCAAAGAGACTTCAGGAGAACAAAGGGTGGCACACAAACATGTGGACTCGTGTGTGCGCACACACACACAGAGTCAACAAAAGATCTGACAAAGATGCAGAAGCAGGGAGTGGGTGGGGTGGGCTAGAAGGAGCTACAGGGGCTTGGTTAGGCCGTCCTCACACCCCTAGACAAGACACTGAAAGAGGAGAAACCACAGGCTGCAGATCCCCTCAGGATCCTCTCCCTCCCTGCCCTTCTTGCTGGGTCAAAGTCTGACATGTTCCCAACAGGAGAAATGGAAAGAGGACACAGTTGAGACTCAGGAGAGGTGGAGCTCTCACTCCCTGCAGTATCATTTTCTCTCCTTGGAGGTCCTTGGCTTCTGCCCCTGGCCTGCATTCTGAAGCCCCAGGAAAACCACCTCAAAGTCTTGCTCTGACCCATCTCTGCTTTCAGTGGGCCTCCAAGTACCTGTATTCTCCCTCATTTAAGTGGAGGAGGCAGAGCTTGAGTCTTGCCCACAAGCTACATGCTCGCCTCAGTTTCCCCAACCCATTGACTTCCAAGGCTTATCCCAGGAGTGAACAGAGTCAGCACGAGGCACAGGGAAGTGCGATGCCAGCAAGTGTGCCACCTCGGCTCTTCAACCTGAGTCACGACTGCTCCTGTACAGGGACACCAGAACCAGGAAGTAAAGAACGTCACCAGGCCTGAGCACAGTCCTTCACCAGAGCCTCTTGTGTGCCTCTGGCTTTCTCTGTGAGATTCACCAAGGAGTCAGAGGCGCCTACAGAGCAGCCAGGGAGAGGGCAGACTGCCCTGCAGCCAAGGGCCTGCCCGAGGCAACAGTGCAAGGCGGTGGGGAAAGCATGGTGTCCCAGCTCAGGACAGAGGGA